AAAAAAACAACCAAAAAAACAGAAAATAACCCCCAAAAATGAGAATACTATATGAGAAATACTAGACAGTCTTAAGTGCCCAAACATTCAGATAATTGGTATACCAGAAGCCGAGGAAACTAATAAGGGCATTGATAATCTATTCCATGAAATCTTGGAAGAAAACTTTCCAAATCTAAAGAGGCATTCAAACATCCAGACTCAAGAAATACAAAGGACCCCTAATAGAATCAACCCAAGAAGATCTTCTCCAAGGCACATCATAGCCAGACTGGTCAAATCTACAGACAAAGAAAAGATACTAAAATTGGCAAGAGAGAAATGTCAAGTTACTTTTAAAGGTTATCCTATCAGGCTAACCTCAGACCTCTCATCAGAAACAATGCGAGCAAGAAAAGAATGGGAAAATATATTCAAAGTGTTAAGTGAAAAACAGTTTCAGCCAGGAATATTATACCCAGCAAGATTATCTTTCATATGGAAAGAAAGAATAAAAATATTCTCAGATAAACAAGACCTGAAAGAATTTTCCAGTAGCAGACCCACTCTTCAAGAATTTCTGAAAGGAGTTTTCAACCAGTAAAACTAAAGATACGTACAGAAATAAGAGAACAAAAGGCAACAAAGAAAACAACCAATTTAATGCTAGGGACAAGGAATATCAATAAAAACATAGAATGTTAACTTCCAAGATTTAAATGGGAAGATTGAACCATAGCAACACTGCATATTCAACAGAAGAGTTTGAAAATAACTGACAAAATAGAATTTTATAACTTTTGAGTAAAACGTTACTGATTTTTTTTTACTGTGCTTTGTTTTCCCAATTTAAACAGTTTACTTTCTTTTGAGTTGTTGATAGGTTCAGCAATATGTTAAAATATTTTTCTTGTTTGTTTCTTTAAATGGAAACATACAATTTTCTTCCTTCCTGACCACTCTGGAATTGGAAAATATTTGGGGATATTCTTATTTTGTGACAGAAGGTTTATTTGCATAAGTTCAGTAATGTGTGTTGCATTGATTCAGAAATTGGAAATACTCATTATCGGATAGGGCTTTGACTGGAAGGTCATATCTGAAGATTAATCAGAAAACTATGGAACTAAGGTGGATCTCAAGTAAGCTAACAGAAGCTCTTAGAAAGCCTGGTATCATAAATAGTTCTGTCTGGCAGAAAGGATTAGAGAAAATATATGAAAGAATTTATAACATAAAATAACCTGGACTTTTCCAGCCCAGCAATGTAATCAGAAGAGATTGCAAAAGAGCAACCACACCAGAGGATTATTTTGAGAAAGACCTTGAAGGAAGAAAAAGAGACTGATCTTTGCTAGCAGATGGTAGACCACAGAGTACTTGGTAGCAGGGCTGAATTGAGAAGGTTTATGTGTGACTAGTGTGCTGGGCATTTGCTTTTCAACAATTTGAGTAGTTGACATGTGAATATTTTCTCAAAAATATTAAAAATCATATTGTCTGTTGTTATAGAGTCACAAACAAAATTATACAAAATTATAAGAAATATTTTGAACATGATCTTTAAAATTCAGTATTTTGAAATTTCAAAAGAAAAATGTAAAAATAAATTTTAAAAATAAAATAAATTAATTAATTAGCTAATTAATTAAATTTACTGGAAAAAAATTTTAAAATAAAAGAATAGAGTGACCAGCAGTTAGCATAATGGCTATGTCGCTGGACTCCCATGTAGTAGACGGCAGTTCGAGTCCTGGACCTGGTGGCTTAATTCGAGTCCTGGACCCTGTGGCTTAAACTCACGCCAGGTGCATGTGCATGCGTGCCCAAGATCCCGAGAGGAGAAAGGAGAAGAAGGGATTGCGTTATGGCCATCCCCCCGGGGGGGGATTTCTCGCTTTCTGTTTCTCTGTCTCTCTCTGTCTTTCTGGCGAGTACACACGCCTTATAGCAAAAACCTCTCCAAAAAAATTAACTAATTAAAATAAAAGAATAGAAATTGTAAAAAAAAAAAAAATGTTCTCAGACCACAGTGTAATTAAACTAGAAGTCAATAATGCAAAGATAGCTGGAGAAACTCTAATATGTTTGGAGATGAAACGACTCAGTTCTGGGGTCAATGAAGAAGTATTGAGAAATTTTTAAACAAATGAAATGAAAATGAAAACACAACTTATGGGAACCAGCAGTTACCGTAATGGCTATGTCGCTGGACTCCCACATAGTCAACCGCAGTTCATGTCCTGGACCCGGTGGCTTAAAACTCATGCCGGGCACGTGTGCGTGCCCAAGATCCCGAGAGGAGGATGGAGGAGAAGGGATTGCGGCATGGCCATCCCCCCCTGGGGGGTGATTTCTCGCTTTCTGTCTCTCTGTCTGTCTGGCGAGCACACGCGCCCTATAGCGAAAACCTCTCAAAAGAAAAAAAAATAATAATAAAATAAACACAACTTACCATTATTATGAGCTGTAGAGTCCAGCAATAGTGGTATGTGCCAATGCAACTCTGTGCTTCACAGGCTGGGACCACATGGGAGACCCAGTTTGATTCCCAAGTCTACCTAAAGGCCAGTATGCACTTGTGATCTCAGCGGTTTAGGAGGCTGAGGTAGGAGGGTCACAAATTCAAGGATGGCCTGAACATGGCCCGTCTAAAACAGAGTCAGGTACGGTAGTGACACCTGTGGTTCTGATCGTGAGGCTAAGGCAGGAGAATTGCAAGAGTGAGATCATTTCTTAAAAAAAAAAAAAAAAAAGAAAGAAAGAAAGAAAGGGAGGGGGATGCATACTTAGGGGAAAACATGTAGCATTCAATGTATATATGAGAAATGAAGAAAGGGCCAGATGGTGGCATGGTGGTTGAGGTAACTGGATCCCACATGGTCAGTAGAATGGTTTGAGTCCTGGAACCAGAGGCTAGGGGGACATAGACACACCAGACACATGTGCATGTGTGCCCAGAGGTCCCCAGGGGAGTGGTAGAAGAGAATGGCTGTGGTGTGGCTGTCGCCACAGGGGATGCTTTCTCACTCTAACCTCCCCTCACCCCAGTCTCTCTCCAGCAAGTGCACACGCTCTCTAACAGATTGAAAAAGGGGGGGAAAGAGAAATGAAGACCTAATAAAAGCTTCCATCCGTGGAAACTAGAGGAAAAAGAGCAAGTTAAGCCTAATGCAAGTAGAAGAAAAGAACAATAGAATTAAAATAGAAGGTAATGAAACTGAAGTAGGAAAACATTAGAGAAATTCAATGAAACCAAAATCTGATTCTTTGAAAAGATCAATAAAATTGATGACTCTCTAGCCAGGCTAACAAAGAAAAAAGAGAATATTGAGAAATTAATTTCATGGACATTGAAAGGAAAAATAAAGGCTTACTATGGGTAACTCTACAAGAGGACTTCAAAAAGTTCCTAGAAAAAAATGGAATTAAAGTATGAATTCATTTTGGTACAATTTTTTTTTAAAAAAATCCATGCATAGCACATGGATTTTTCATAATATATATTTTCCATTAACTTTTTGAAGACTCCTTCATATGCCTGAAAATTTGTTAAAAGATGAAATAAATTCCTTAGAAGGCACAAATTACCAAAACTCACACAAAGAAAGATAGGTCATCTGAAAAGGCCTGTATCTGTTTTTAAAATTATAATCAATAACGGGTCCAGCAGGTGGTATGGTGATTAAGTCATTGGATTCCTACATAGCCAACTATGGTTTAAGTCCCAGATCTGGCGACTTGAAAATCACACCAGGTGCATGTGCATGCATGCCCAAAATCCCAAGAAGATGATGGAGGAGAAGAGATTGCAGTACGGCCATCCCCCCTAAGGAGTAATTCCTCACTTTTCCTCTTTGTCTTTCTCTGTCTCTCTCCAGCAAGCACATGTACCCTATGGAAAAGACCTAAAAAAAAAAAAAAAAATAAAAGGACCAGGGCCCCTGTCCCCCCCGCCCCTCCCCCCCCAAAAAAAAAAAGCACCAGGCCTAGATGGTATCACTGGTGAATTCTAGAAAACAGTTAAGAAGAAATGACACCATTCCCCATAAGGATTTCCAGAAACTAGAAACAGAGGTATCTCTCCTTACAGATATATAAGGTCAGCATTACCCACCCTCATTTCTCAGTGTTGTCCTTTCTTGCTGGAGGCCAGGGGCTGGCTGGATTTTGAGCTCGACTCACAGTTTTCCCTTCTCTATAGAGCAGGTGGAGAAGCAATGGCAGGGGTGTGCTGCCAGGAGTGACAGTGCTGGCGCGAGGCCAGCCTGATGCCATGTGGCCGCTGCTGGGAGCCAGAGCTGACACCTTCTTAGGACTTTCCATCACCAGAAGTAGCCTCGACTCCAAGTCCCAATTAGAGGAGTTTCCGTACAATTTTTGTTTTAATTTTTTATCAACAAGAATGTATCAATGTATTTGACTTGAAGGAGTTCCAGAAATGTCTCCCAAAGTATGACATGTGGTGAGATGATTACTTTGAATCGAGGGGACTTGGGGCACAGCAGATGTAGGCAGAGGCTTTCTCGGACCCTAGCTGCCTAAGGATCCTCCAAAAGGAACTCGGTTTCATGCATCCCCTCCTTGGGAATCTCATCAACCAGGGAAGATGAACTTGAATCACAGGACAGGAGACGACACTGACACCATACCCAGACAATGTCACAGGCTACCACTTGTTCTGCTGAGGGTCCGTTTATCTTCCCCCCACATCATGGGCCATTCCCTAAATTGCTTCTATCCCTCCTCCTCTCTCCCCTATGATGAAAGTATACAAGCTTCTAGACCTCAATGGGGTTCTGGGTACCCACTTTTCTCTTCTCCAATGCCTCCGAGCATGTAACAAATTCGTCTGCCATTTTTCCTGCAATGCTCCTCGTTTCGGTTTAGTTCATACTAAGTTAAACCCTCAGAGAGAAGAGGGAAACCTTAGATTTTAAGAGATCGCCAGCATTCTTCTCTAACCAAATGCATAGCACACCCCAGAATAGATTTTTTAAAAAAGAAGAAACAACACTCACCCGCTGCTTGCATTTGCCGTTGGGTCCATTGCTTTCACTTCCTTCCTATCAATGATCTGAGATTCCAAATGGACTGAGAATGGGCTCAGAACAAAACTGTCCCCCCACCATGAGGACTGGAAGAATTTTGACAGTGGGCATTTAACCTGGTTTTGTTTTAGTTTTTGACAGAATCCCCCTGGCTCAGCCTCCGAGAAGTTGGGATTACAAGCATGCCCCCACATGCCTGGCTTTTACAACGCACTGTGACACAAACCAGGCCTCCCCTGAGGCCTCAGCCCGCTAAGCAGCAGTAGCAACAGGCATGTACTACTGTGGTTGGCCTGATTTGAATTAGAATTTTTCTTTTTTTTTTTTGAGATTTTTGCTATAGGGCACGTGTGTTCCCCAGAGAGACAGAGAGACAAGACAGCCAGAAATCACCCCCCACCCCCCAGGGTAGATGGTCAGGCCGCAATCCCTTCTCCTCTTTTCTCCTCTTGGGATTTGGGGCAGGCATGCACATGCACATGCACCAGGTGTGTTTCGAGCTGCCAGGTCTGGGATTCAAACTGGTTGGCCATTTGGGAGTCCAGTTCAGTGCCTTTAACCACTATGCTACCTGCTGGCCCCTGGATTTTAATTTTTTAAAGATTTTTCTTTTTGGACAGAATTGTCTTTGGGGACAGGGAAAATGGAAGCCTGGGAAAGATGAGAAGGTTTAAAAGCCACAAGCAGTCATCCAGTCCTACGACAGTCCTAGAAAAGACCATGCAGTTCCCATAGCACCGGCCCCACATACGGCAGTTGCAGAGAGAAAAGAAGATGGCATGAGTCAAGACGGCCTTAAGTTTCCCTGGCAGCTAGTTCACTATAATTCTACAAATGTGATTTCCTCGTTGTCTCTCATCTCATTCCATCATATACCTGTGGAGGGAGGGGGAGGACATAAGTAAAAATGTATATGCTGACCTGGCGAAGGAAGAGCAGGGGGCGGTGATGCACCTGGAGCTGAGATCGCTGGCTCCTCCTGGTATCTTCCACTGTTTGCTCTGGAGATTTTTGCTATAGGGCACGTGTGTTCCCCAGAGAGACAGAGAGACAAGACAGCCAGAAATCACCCCCCACCCCCCAGGGTAGATGGTCAGGCCGCAATCCCTTCTCCTCTTTTCTCCTCTTGGGATTTGGGGCAGGCATGCACATGCACATGCACCAGGTGTGTTTCGAGCTGCCAGGTCTGGGATTCAAACTGGTTGGCCATTTGGGAGTCCAGTTCAGTGCCTTTAACCACTATGCTACCTGCTGGCCCCTGGATTTTAATTTTTTAAAGATTTTTCTTTTTGGACAGAATTGTCTTTGGGGACAGGGAAAATGGAAGCCTGGGAAAGATGAGAAGGTTTAAAAGCCACAAGCAGTCATCCAGTCCTACGACAGTCCTAGAAAAGACCATGCAGTTCCCATAGCACCGGCCCCACATACGGCAGTTGCAGAGAGAAAAGAAGATGGCATGAGTCAAGACGGCCTTAAGTTTCCCTGGCAGCTAGTTCACTATAATTCTACAAATGTGATTTCCTCGTTGTCTCTCATCTCATTCCATCATATACCTGTGGAGGGAGGGGGAGGACATAAGTAAAAATGTATATGCTGACCTGGCGAAGGAAGAGCAGGGGGCGGTGATGCACCTGGAGCTGAGATCGCTGGCTCCTCCTGGTATCTTCCACTGTTTGCTCTGCTGGACCAGTAACGTGGCCTAAGACCAATCAAGCCTGACTAGATTTTCACAGCCTCCTGTGTCTACCCAGAACCCTGCCAATTGGCCTACACCAAAAACGAAAAAAAAAAAAAGTGAGATCGCCCGACTGTATGAAGCGTTTGTACTGGTTCACAAATCCTCCCTCCACCAATCTCTAAGACCTTTCTTAACCAGGGAGGAGGGGCAGAGGAAAGCCCGGGAATCCACAGAAGGCAGAGGACCACATGCTCGTGCCCGGTAAGAGAGGAAAAGTCCATTAAACCAAAGGAGGTGGAAGTTGTTTCAAAGCGTGGTGACTCAGCTTAGTTGAGGAGCAAGCAAACTCCAACTCCCCCTTCCTAGGGTGGCTATGAGGAAGACAAAGGAGGGATGGCTTCTCAGATCTTCTCTCAGGCCCGTGGCTGGTCAGGCACCTTAGAGAGCCCAGACCAGGCAAGTTAGTCTCAGTGTCTGGACACAGGGTTAGAGAAGCGGAAATGCTTGGCATTTTAAAGTGGGGGAGATGTTCTTAGCAACCCCGAGAAGCAGCCAGAAGCAGGAGAGAACTCTTACCAAGGTTGGGCAGAGAAGCCTGAGTGTAATTCAAAATGTTCTTGAATGCATGGGCCCTCTGCAGCTGCAGCCAGGGGTGACCGGGAAATACCCAGCTTCTGCCATTTCACTGAAATCATGAGGAGTGACAAGCTTCTCATTGCATGGGGAAAGGGTTAGGTGCTGAGATTATCCAGACCTTCAAAGATGCCATGAGGTGAGCAGTTGGGTACATTACATTGGGGATTTTTTTGCTTTTTTTTTTTTTTTAATTATACCTGGCTCTCATTCTTTTTAAGTGTATTTTATTAACATAATAATTGAGCATCTTTAGGAGGGTATGATGTTATTTTTCAACACAAGAATGCAATGTGTAATGATTAAATTGGGGTAGGTAGCATGCCGGTCATCTCAACTGTTTGCCATTACTTTCTTTGGGAGCATTTAAAATCCTTCCTTATATTAGATAGCCCAGAAAGTCATGATATATTTTTCTATGCAAAAATGCATCATGACTTTCCCAATGACCCAGCAGTTACTTCGAGATACACGATTGTTGCTATCTATATTCTCCTGACTGTGTTTTTTGTTTGTGTGTTTGTTTTGTCTTTGTTTTTTTCTTCTTTTTTTGAGAGAGAGATTTTTGCTCTAGGGTGCATGTGCTCACCAGAGAGACAGAAAGAGATAGAGAGACCGAAAGAGAGAAATCCCCTCCCCCCCGGGGGGATGGCCATGCCACAACCCCTTCTCTTCCATTCTCCTCTCAGGATTTTGGGCACGCATGCACATGTGTCCAGCGTGAATTTCAAGCCACCAGGTCTGGGACTCACACCGCAACGTAACCATTACACCATCTGCTGGTTCCCTCACTGTATTTCATAACACCAGAAATTATTCCTCCTATCTATCTTCAATTTTGTTTTCATTAATCTTCATTCTTCTTTCTCCCCACCCATACCCCCCAACTCCACTCTATCCTTCCCAGACTCCAGTATTCATTCATTTCTCCAGCTCTTGGAGGTAATTTCTCATGTATGAGAAAGAACATGCAGTATTTCTCTTTTTGTGCCTGGTTTATTTATTTAATTCAACCTAATGTCTTCCAGGCTTACCCATTTAACATCAAATGACAGAATGTCATCCTTCTTAATGGCTGAATAGTACTCCATCATAACATCACATTTTCTTTATCCATACATCGTTGGGGGGACACTTAGGTCGATACCCTATCTTGCCTATTGTGAACAGTCCTGCAATGAATACTGGGTGAGATAGCTCCTTGACATACTGATGGCCTTTACTTGGCTATATACCCACACGTAAGAGTGCTAGAGCATATGGCAGTTTTATTTTTGGTGTTTTGAGGGATCTCCATACTGTTCCCCACAATGGCTGTACTAATTTACATTCCTGCCAAACGTGTAAGAGCTTCTCTTTCTCCACATCCATACCAGCATTCGTTATTTTCTCTTTTTAATACTAAGCCATTCTAGCCACAGTGAGATGATATCTCATTGTGGTTTTTGTTGTATTTCCCTAATGATCAGTATGTTGAGCATTTTTCTCATGTTTTCGGTCATTTTATGTCTTCTTTTGAGAACTCTTATTTAGATCATTTGCCTATTTTTAAATTGGGTTATTCATTTATTTTTGCTGCTTAATTGTTTAAGTTCCTTGTGCATTCTAGTTCTAGTTTTATTAGTCCCTACTCAGATATTTTCCTCCCATTATGTTGGTTGTCCCTTCACTTGGTTGGCTTATGTATCTGCCGCCCACCCCAAGTAGTATGCTGTTTTTGTTACTATATCTTTATAGTATAGTTTGAAATCTGGTAGTATAAGGCCTCTCCCTCCATTCTTTTTGATCCAGATTGCTCAGGTTATTCGGGGTCTTTTGTGATTCCATATAAATTTTATGATTGATAGAGATGCATTAAATCTATAGGGTGCTTTCAGTAGTACAGATGCTATGACAATATTGATTCTTCTAATCCATGAAGATGCACAAATTTCAAAAGCTTTATGAATAAAAAACGTTTCGCACTGGGGTCAATAGGTGGTATGGTGGTTGAGGGACTGGATTCCCACATGGCTGCCTGAGGTGTGAGTCCTGGGCCCGTTCACACTGTCACGTGTGTACATGTACCCAAAATCCCAGGAGAAGAATGGAAGAGAAGGGATCACGGCATGGCCATCCCCTCTGGGGGAGGAGCATGATTTTTCATTTTCTCTCTAATTCTCCCTGGCAAGCACTCACCCTGTGATGAAAGAACAAAAAATGTTTTACACCAAAAACTACATACCATATGTTTTGCCCCATGTCTCTGTCTCTGTGGTGAGTACATACACCTCTGGCAAAAAAGAAAAGAAAAAAAAGTATAATTTTAATAGACTCTTGCAGGACCAGCAGATGGTGAAATGGTTATGTTGCTGGACTCTCATGTAGTCGACTGTGGTTTGAATCCCAGACCTAGTGGCTTAAACCTCACGTACATGCCCAATATCCCAAGAGGAGCATGGAGGAGAAGGGATTACGGTGTGGCCATCCCTGGGGGGGTCATTTCTTGTTTTCTGTCTCTGTGTCTAGCTCTGTCTCTCTGGTGAGCACATGAGCCCTATAGAAAAAAACCTCTCTCTCAAAAAAAACAAACAAACAAACAAAAAAGACTTCCTGCTTCCATTACTTGCATGTGAATTAGCAGGTACGATTTTCCCGTAATTACCGTATTTGCAAGCGTGCCATGCTTAGAAGGAACTTATTCTTATTCATGTCGGTCTTCTTCTGTACTGATTGTTGCCTGATCTGACATTCTGACATTATTCTCCCTCTCCCTTTGTTCCCACTTCACTCGCATTTGCCTGATGTATCTCTGAACAGGTCTGAAGGAGGAAGTTTCTGTGGCCACGTGCTAGGAAATCCATGAAGGGGCTCAGGCAGATGAAATGTGGTATCTGCACCAAACAGTTCCTGTCCCTCTTACTGCTGACACGTGGGCACCTTAGGGTGCTGCGTATTACGCAGTGCTGAGGCACCAGCGCCATGATTCTCCAGCCGTTAGCATCGCACTTCTCCCTGTACCTCCTCCATCCCCATTGGCTGGCGGTGGCTTCCAGGCCTCTGTCACCCCCACAGTCACGACCTGCTGGGCCGATCGCTCTGCAGATTCTCAAATAGGGTATGCCATGTTCGGTCTTCTGTGGAAGAGAGGAAGGCGCTCAACCATGCAGATTAACCTTGTTTCGAGGCTTTTCAAACCCTACACCCGTATTTCCCATATTTTTCCCAAGAGATTTCTGGGTGTCCTGGTAGGGGAAATTCACCATCAAATATATTTGGACATTATGGTTTGAACAAAGTTAAACAGGACCAGCTGGGTGCCACCATGGTAAGGTGCTATTCAAGCGATGCTGGGTCATTATGGAATATGGTGAGTTCAGTTCCCCAGACAACCTGGGCACATGCTCCGTGATCCTGGCTGGTTGTGGGGGGAGGGGAGGGTAGGAATCCCAGCACGGAGCTCTTTCGAGAGGGTGCTTTTCTTTCTTTTCTCTCTCACTGTCATGAAAAAAGTGTCGTTTTTATAAAGTTAAACTGATGTTTCCATTATACAATTTCTCAGAGGCCCTACATGTAACTGCCCTGAAGAATCTGTAAAAGGTGTGTGTGCAAAGGGCCCGCAGGTGACATGGTGGTTAAGGTGCTAGATTTCCACATGGCTGACCATGATTGGAGTTCTAGACCCCGAGGCTTGAAAATTATGCCAGGAGCATGTTTGAGCGTGCCCAAAATCCTGAAAGGAAAATGGAGGAAAGGGGACTGCAGTGTGGCCCCCACCCCCTGGGGAGTGATTTCTCACTTTCCCTCTCTCTCCATCTCCCTCTGTCTCTGTATCTCTCTAGCTAGTGCATGAACACTACATCAGAAAGAAAGAAGGAAAGAAAGAAAGAAAGAAAGAAAGAAAGAAAGAAAGAAAGAAAGAAAGAAAGAAAGAAAGAAA